AAATAAATTATTTCGTTATTAAACTTAAATTAAATTATAATAAAAAATAAATTAAAGAAATTGCATAAAAATTGAGAACTTTTAAATAATTGATTTGATATTAACATTGATATATATTTTTTTCAAATTTTTATGATATCTTCAAATTTATATTTTATTCAAAAATAAAATCATTATTACTTTCTTAAAAACACATAAAATAGTACTATAACATCGACAAAGACAAATAATAAAATAGAACATTGAAATCGTGATGTGTTTCGCTGCATTGCACGAGTATTATTCTAGTAACTAATAGTAAGAAATAATGATTAATACCGATGAAGGTTATAATTGAAAAAAAAAATGAGAACAATCTACCAAAACAATTAATATGGATGAAGTTATAATTGGAAATTTGATATACCAGAATGCCACTGCAAGTTGCATTTCAATAAGTTAGCTTATATGCATCCATACGTGTACCCAAAAAACAAATTAGCTTATTTTTGCCAAATAATACCAAAATGTTAAATTGGTCAAAGGTTTTGAAACATAATAGTTCAGTGGTTTATAGTTTTTACAAACTTGTAATTAAAAAAGAAAATGCAAATTTTATGTTTCGATAAAAAAAAAACGGTAAGAATAATAAAAAATATATCTGTTGTATAAAAAATTATTGAGTATCAAAATATTTCAATACGATATACTGATAGTAAAATAAATCAAATCAATTAGACTATCATATTCCATATATGAACTGTTTATGAAAATCAAATCGATTTATTTTAATTTAGAAAAAACAATACGGAACGTTAACCTGGAAAAATGCGGTTTCGTATTAAAAAGATGATTTACCACATAGATCGATTGGTTTTTCACAAAACATGTTCCTCAATATAAAAAAATCTTTAATAATTAAATCTAAGAACGATACTAACTAGGCGTTCGGGATTGCTTATAAAAAACAACTTATTTATTTATTCCGGTATGACACCGGTAATAAGCACGTTTGAGTGTTTGGATAAACAACTTATGTCGGTTACAAACCGATAATAAGGAGTTGTTGAAGGAGTTAAATCATTCTAACTTATAACAAGTTGATAAGGACTTTTATAGAAAAGCATAAGTTGTTTCAAATAAGCAATCTCAAACACCCCTAAATAAGTATTAATAACATTACTTGAAAAAAGTATCAGTTGCTTTACATTTTAGGGTTACATTTTTTTTTCCTAACCACAAGGGTGGTGTTCGATTGGTTTGAGATTGAGAGATTCGTCGTAATGCAGAAAACGACAAGATTCAACTTTTGCTGACCAGATAATAACATGTTGCAGACTGTTTATCCTCCAAATATCAAAAGTGTCTACAGGTCCCAGGTTCGAATATAAGGAGTAATAAGAATCCCCTCGTGGCAATGAAGGTTCAAATGCGGTGACTTTGGGTTATCCATGAAGCGGGTGTTCACGTTAGGATTCGTAGGCTCGCATAACAGGTTGGATATTCAGGTTAATAAAAAATATATATATTCCAATTTAGTTCGGAACGGAAGAATATCCTTAAAAGATACGAGATTTAAAACAAAAACAGACATAAAATACATGTTCTCGTTTGAACCTAACATTACATGCATGTAATAAAATCTGTTGTCCCGTATTTCTCTATCATATACCAATCACATAAAGACACATATGTTATTCGCATGATTGGTGGAAATGGATGAGAGCGGAAAATTTGGGACAACAATTTTTATCCATATTTGGTAGATGGAGTATCGAGCTACCATCGAACATTATTGAGTTCCATCAAAAGGTTGCCATTAAGCTTTACGAAGAGTTGCATTAATTTTCCATTATCGATTTATAACAAAATTCTACATCCTGCTGTATCGCACAGATACACACAACTAGAGATTTAGAAAACAAAACCCAAGTGTCATCAATCGATCAACACCTAAGTTTGTGAGCGGTTAATACTTGCTCATAACAGATTAGAAATTTTGAGCTCAAATCTCATCTATGTTGAAACGGTTAGCCTTTTGCAGGTATATAGAATCTACATGTCGTACCTTGGAGGTGGGTAAACCGTGCTTTTGCATCCATGCAACGCAACAGAATTGCTAGTTCAATGTGTTGTCAACGGTTATGAATCTTGGATTACGGGCAGATAGAAGAGCTTGTAAGCCTCCAAGACTTCCAGATACCACATCGCCTCTCGATGGGGAAAAGCAGAGAGATCAACAATTTTGTGAACCTGAAATTGTAAAAATGTCACACTTTTCAGGATAAAATTATTCACAAGTGAATAATCAACTGGGAATTGCAGGATCTGATGTAGGAATCATAATGAAAAACCACCATATAACTAGATAAGTATTATGTAAATCAGAAGAACCTAAGAAAGTCCTCTTTACTTCTGCTATTTGGAAGATGACTTCAAATCCAAATTTTCTGTAAATTAGTAGGAGTCGCATAAACAGATCACAAAAAGTTCAGGATACTACAAACTGAAAATACAACCTGTTTTAAGTTCTCGATCCAGGTGGTTGTGGGTTCAAGACTCCAAACATTGACACGGGTGCACGTGCATTTTCTTTCTTAGCCGTAAAGTGAGGAAGAAGACTCTTACCCGGTTAGCGCTTACCAACAACCCATTTTTGATGGCCAAGAATGTTACCAGATAAGGTAAGTGACGATGATGTCTCTTGCCGATAAATGCTAGAGTTGTCTTCTTTTATTTCTAAATGCCAGACTAAAATAAGATTTTACTTCTTGTGCTATTCTTACAAGTCATCTTTGTATAGCTCAACACTATGTTTTGTTCACTATGAGCATCTCCATGCCAATCTTCACAGAAACGGCTGCTCAGGTATGCTCAACCCCCCCCCCCTCCCCCCGGTAACTTTCAAGTGGGATTTACTGGTCCACTACAAGGACAACCCAATGGAATCAGCAAAGGCTGCCAAGCATACTAATCTGCTACAGGCAGGTATCATATATTCATCTCTTCGATTCTAACTATTCAACGGACATTGGACCATATACATTGCTTATGAACTAAAGCTAGAACTTTGTGTCCCTAACAGGCATAGATTATATCACAGCTCCTTTAAAGTCCCACAAACAATTAGTATCGAGCAGTTCTTCCTTTGTTGTTTGATTATATTGGTGCTTCAAGCGGTCTACATTCAAATCAACAACTTGCTCTATAATAACCATAATTGGAAAATAAAAACTCCACCAAACATCTACCCATCTATGTTTTCTTTCTTAGCCGAGTTCTCATCAATGTCCTACGAGAGTGTCATGTGTCTTAAATAATTCATAGAACCCGAAACCAAATTCTACGTCTTTAAGTTCTTCCTTTTCTTCATTCTAAAGAAGACAATCTGTACCACGTAAATTTATAGAGCATCAACATTTGACTTCTTGACATCAATACAAGTTGCTTATAAGAAACTAAATTTATTCCAAATTTTGTTACTACTTTACCTCTTAACACTTCAAGAGCTTGTAAATACTTCTCATAGAGGTAAGTTAGGTTGAGAACTTGTTTTTCTTTTAAAACCCGGGAACCACTCACAACATTTGTCCCTCTTCAGGATGACTATTGATCATGAATAACACATTCATGATGAGTATGAGTGTGTTATTCATCATGAATCACACATTCATAATGAATATGGATGTATTATCCATAGTGAATAACACATTCATTATGAATATGTTACAACATTCATGATAACAAGGCGTCTATATTCCTGATGAATGTGCCATGTATAGTGCTGATGGTGGTCCCCCAATTCCTAATGAGAACACTTCTTATAATGTTCAATGTAATCAGTAGCAAATAAATTAGAATCCATGACAAATTTAACTTGCAAAAGTAATTTCTCTGATTTAGCAAGCCCTAATGTAGTTGTTTCGTAACTGAAGAAGAATCCTATTAATAACAAATTGATTAATGGGAGTTCTTGTCATCAATCATAAGTAATATTGATTTGTACATTGAGAATCTGAACATAAAAATCAAAGAAAATTATGATGGAATTTGAGGTAATTTGCCTTGATCAAGGGAAGATTATCTTCACGGATTGAACACCCTCCTACAACCATTATATATGCACCTGCACAATCAATCAGAACAGAAGATTATAAATATAAGAACAGAAGAAACCCCAAACTTGCTAGGGCTAGAAATGCTGACCTAATTTCCAATCGCGATTCAGGTTATCGTTGGAAGAAGTGAGTTCAACCACGCCTGTTCCGTCATCGACGAGAAAACGTCCGTCGCCGACGGTGGCAGAAGGTAGCGAGATTACAACGCCCTGAATCACATTCAATCAATGATAGATTTCCAAAAAGAAGGGAAAAAGAGTGTGTTGCGAGGTTGAGTACCTGTAACCAGGCGCGTTGGAAGAGAATGGGTCCGAGAGAGATGGAAGATTGAGAGGAGTCGGTGGTCCGACGCGCCGCCTTCAACTGGATGCATAGTAGCTTCAAAGCCGCTAAGCTGTAGTCCATCTTCTTCTTCTTACTGTACAGATTCCGGCTTCTCGCTAACAATGGAACTGCAATGAATCGTGATTCCTAGAACCAGGTCGTGCTGTCTTATGGAATTTGGAAAAAAATTTATGTTATTTAGAAAATAACAACTATAGCATTTGTTTTTTTGGAATATTTTCGTGCCCCGTTGAAGATTGCTTATAAAAATAATTTATTGATTTATTTTGATGTGTCATCGGTAATAAGTATTTTTGAATATTTGGATAAACAACTTATACCGGTGTCAAACCGGTAACAAAAAGTTTTGAGATAAGTAAAACTCTTCTGACTTATAATAAGTTGATAAGTGCTTTTATAGAAAAGAATAAGAGGCTGTTTGTTTGGCTCTTAATGGTGACATTAAGAGCCAACCTCTTAATTGGTCAGAAGTAAAGACTGTTTGGCAAAAAAAAAAAAAAAAACTCTTAATGATTACATTAACCTCTTAACCATTTTGAACCTAAGACTTTACTAAACCATTCAGATGTTCATTTTTCCAACTCTGCTCTCTCACCAGCCGTTCTTCACATCGCATCCCCCTATCGTCGGTCTTCCATTCGCCGTCTTCCCCCCCCACCCCAGATCGTCGCTCTTCCGGTCAGCTCTTGGTTGGTCGTCTTCCAGGTGGTCAGCTCCGGTCGCCGTCTTCCAGGTGGTCGTCTTCCAGGTGGTCAGCTCTGGTCGCCGTCTTCCAGGTGGTCGTCTTCCGATCGCCGCCCCTACTGCTTCCCTTCATATGTTTCAGGTATTTCATCGCTTCATGTTGCTATCTTGGTTCTCTTCATGTTGCTATCTTGGTTTTGTTCGCTTCTTGGTTGCTATCTTGTAGAAACCCTTGGTACCATGCCATTGTGTAAAGTATTTCATGTTTGGATTTAGCAAAAAAGTGAAATAACCTTAATTTGATTAGATTGGAACTCCTTTGTCTCGAGGGTTAAAATGGTAATTTGTTATCATTCAGATAACAGTTACTAAACAACATTATTTCACTCAGCACTTAACCATTATGGCCCTCTTAACCATTATGACCACTTAACCATTCTACACTAAACGATTCAGCAACCGCCAAACAACCCCTAAGTTGTTTCAACTAAGCAATCCCAAACAACCCTCGTTATCATCTCTTTAACTTTGTTTTTGATGGTTTGTTTATATTTTACGAGAACCAATATAGAACAAATTTGGACTAATCAAATGAGAACTTAATAATTTGTAATAATTATGATATTTTATATGAGACAATCATTTAAGATAATTAATATTAATCTTTTAAAATAAGGTTAAAGGGTAAATTAGTAATTTGATATTTAATTAAAAATGATTTAACATCTTCCCCTCTCTCTCTCTCTCTCTCTCTCTCTCTCTCTCTCTCTATATATATATATATATATATATTATCCATTTTGTATTACCAAAATTAACATTTGGTGTTGTAAACAATGGGTATCACAATGTACATATTGTATATACAATGGATATTACATTGAGGATCGTTTGTATATATATTTTTTTAAATAGTGGCGATGTTTTTTAGGTATCATATTTGTGTAGCTTTTATTCAACTGGTGTTCGCCGAAATAAGGTTCGTCAAAGAGGGGAAGTAAGATTTCTAAAATATCTAAAATGCTCTTTAATTAAATTTTAAGTCAAAATTATTAATTTTCTAATTTATCATTTGATTTGTAGTTGAGATTGGATCTCACAGTTAACACAAAATTACTAAATTCTCCCTTGAATGACCCACTTGATATTATAAGGGCTTGTATAAGGGGCTTTCCGACAATGGTTAAATGGTTTGGTGTAAGATAATTAAGTTCAAAATAATTAAGAGGCTCTTATGATATAATGCAAAATGAAATATCGTTGTTTGGTAATTGTTCATAATGGAATTGGGGCATTGAATGGTTTAAGGAGGCCGAAAATATAAAACCATTTAGAGGGTTTTAGAACCCTTAAAAGACAAAAAAAAAAATTATCAAACAAGATTTAACTCTTAGCAATTCAAGTGTTTCATCTTAATAAAACTATTAAGAGATAAACAAACAACCCCAAAGTTTCTTTGCATGGACCAAATCAAACATATGTGGACGAATCTAGAAATACACCTTGTACCATTTTCAACAGAAAATGATAAAAATAACACTATTCCTAAATTTTAGCACTCAAATTTGCACTATTTGTCAAAATAACAGTAATCATCTCTAACTGGTTAGTGTTAAATTATAACACTTTTATATATTTGATATATTTTTATTAATTTATCATTAAACTAAAATCATATTTTATGTATATTAATTAATTCAAGTAAATTAATTATATCTGTATTTATATACTACATTTAACTATAATAACCTTTTATGTCTCTTATTATTTTTAATAGATTATATATATATATATATATATATATATATATATAATCTTATTATACCAAGACACTTAATTTAATATTTAGTTTTAAACTATTAAATTCTCAACCAATTTTTAAAACAAAACATATATCAAAATTAAATTTTATTTTTAGTACATCGGTTAGAAATGGTCTTAGGGATCGTTTACCTAAATACTTACCCGGTAAGCACTTACCTGTAAAATTCAACACTATCGCTTACTTATCGGTAAGATTTTATTCATTAAAACGCATCGTATGCAACAATTTATCCCGGTAAGCGCTAACCATGGTAAGAGTCCTCGTACTCATCTTGCCTTCGTACTTACCGGGTAAGATTTTTAGTCATTGTCATATTCATCCGGTAAAGTAAAGTGACTTGGTAAGCACTTACCCGGGTAAACGTTTGGTAAACAACACCTTAGACGAGTCAAACCCCAGTTTCTTATGCTTAACAAGTCACAACTCAAGTAAACTCGAGCTCAACTCAGTATAAAGACGTCTCTAATTACGGAAAATCTTTTAGGTTTTGTTTGGTTTGCATGATTGTTTTTAAGAGATTTGGATTTTATGGAGGGATTTGGATTGGAATGTATTTGAAATCATTGGTGTGTTTGATTTGTAGGATTTAGGATGTAATTGATCCTATTATTTATGAATAATTTATAAAAAGAATTATAAATTATTCATAAAACTAATTAAATTATATTTTCATGAACCGATTATTACAAAACAAATGTTTTTAACATTTCTTAAAACCTTATTTAACACAATCCTGTGAAAATCCTGTGAAATCCCGAGCACCCTCTAAGAATTTCAAAATCCTATGTTTGTAAGATCTCAGTTAAATAAGATTTCAAACCCAAACAATTCAACAAACCAAATATGTGATTGGAATGGATTTAAACTCCAAATCCCTTTAAATTTATTCCATTTCTTCAAACCAAACTGTATCTTAGATTCGTGTTGTACTTTAAAATTTGTATAAGAAAAGGATGTTAGTATTATTAAATAATTGCATAAAAACATTAATATTTCATATAACAACTCCACCACATTATTCCAACTCTATACATTTTTTATTGGTATCAGAATAAATACAATATTTTTGTATATCTCTTTACCTAATTCAACTTTATTATTATTATTATTATTTGGTTTTATATTATCAAGTTTAATTTGTGAAAAATAAATATTGATGAAGCATCTATACTATATTATAAAGTGTTTGACAAAGATTCTTAAAAACCATTTTTTATGTTTGAAGTATTGTTTATTGATGCATATTACTTAAAATTCAACATTACAAACAAATTATGCGTAATTACAGTTTATTAAAGCTCTATTTTTAAATTTATGTAATTAACTGCTGATAAACATAATCAAATACAGAATAAACATTCATTTTAAATATAGAAAATCTAAAATACAATTAAGATAATAATTGAGTTATAACAGAATGTTTAATTATTATTCTTATAAAAATTATATTATTAAACTAAAATTAATCTATACTATATTATAAAGCATTTGACAAAAACTCTTAAAAACCATTTTTTTATGCATGAAGTACTGTTTATTGATGTATATTACTTAAATTTTAAGATTACAAGTAATTTTGCATAGGTACGACTTATTAAAACTCTATTTTTAAATTCGTATAACTAGCTGTTGATAAATATAATCAAATACAAGATAAACATATATTTTAAATATAGAAAATCTAAAATATAATTAAGTTCTAAAATAATGTTTAATTATAATATTTATAAAAAATACTTGTTATTAAATCTAAATTAAATTATAATAACAAATTAAATTAAAGAAAACTATTAAATAGTTAATTTGATACTATTATCGATTTATTTTTTTTACAAATTTTTATTTTATCTTCAAAAATTATATTTTAGTTCAAAAATAAAAACATTACCGCTTTTTCAAAACCACATAAAATCGTATTATATCGATAGAGCAAATAACAAAAAGTAAACATTAAATCGAGATTTATCTCACTACATTGCTCAAGTACTCTTCTAGTATTTTATAAAGCATATTTTTGATATAAAGGAGTGTTAAAAGCACAATATCATAAAGTTTCCAAAGTAAATAAAATAATTTCCATTCGATTTTTCAAAATTTCTGTAAAACAGAAAATCAAAATGCAAAATCTTTAAAAACAAATTACATTCAACTCCTATAATTTCTCTGTTTTGAGACTTATAACATTATATATTATTAAAATATTTCATACATTTAATAAAATACAATTCTTACGTCTAAACATTTAATTTCAAGGTTTTTATTCGTACGAATATTGTAACAACCCGTCCCACATCGGTTGGTGAGGAGAACTAAGCACTCCTTATAAGGGTGTGGATACCTCATCCTAGCATGACCGGTTTTGGGGCTTGCGTTGTGCGGCTGCCAGAAACAAAACTGTGCGACTACTGCTTTGTGGTATAGCGGGCAGGTTAGTCAAAGCGGACAATATCATTGCTACGGGGTTCTGGGGGCGTTACAAATGGTATCAGAGCCAGACCCGGATCGATGTGGCCCAACGAGGACGTTGTGTCCTAACGGGGGGAGGGTGTAACAACCCGTCCCACATCGGTTGGTGAGGAGAACTAAGCACTCCTTATAAGGGTGTGGATACCTCATCCTAGCATGACCGGTTTTGGGGCTTGCGTTGTGCGGCTGCCAGAAACAAAACCGTGCGACTACTGCTTTGTGGTATAGCGGGCAGGTTAGTCAAAGCGGACAATATCATTGCTACGGGGTTCTGGGGGCGTTACAAATATAATAAGTAAAAATACTGCTTCCTCATGGTAATCATTTTTGTGAGTTTTTCGAATTTTATGTGGTTGTTTTACTATTAATTATAAATAGATATTAAGTTATAATAATTAAAATTAATTAAAACTTATTAATTAATTTTTATTATACATGATTAATTAATTTTAATCATACAATAGATATTAATAATAATAATTAATTATTTATGGGCCGTTTACCAAACGCTTATTCGGGTAAGTGCTTATTAAGTCACAATACCTTACCGGATGAATATGGAAGGACCAAAAATCTTACTCGGTAAGAGCGAAGGTAGAGACCGAGAGTCTTACCCGATAAGTGAGAACGACGACCCTTACTACGGTTAGTGCTCACCTAGTAAATTGTTGCATACGATTTTGTTTTGGTGGACTAAAATCTTACCCGGTATGTAAGTGATGGTGTTGAATTTTACTGGTAAACACTTATCCAGGTAAGCGTTTGATAAACGACCCCTTACAGACGTTAATAACCATATCAATTATTATTTTTCTTTTTAATCGCACCAAAGAACACATACAAAATAGCTTACCAACCTTATCCCCGCTTTTTTATAAGATAAAATATCATCTTAAAACCCATTTAATAAAAGAGGCGGTGACATTTTAAAAAGAATTTAAGCATATTGACACATTAAACCCCTCTATTTATTGTCACTTTACAAAAATAACCCCAAACTTTATAACCGAATAACGGGTTATAACATAAAGTAAATTACAATTTTAGTCTATGTGGTTTGTTTTTGTATTTCTTTCCATTTTGTCTTTTCAACCATTTCATTTTTATTTTATACCTCTTATTATATTAATTAATGATAAGTTTAACTAAAAATATGTATTTTATTTTATAGATTACACCTTCAAAAAAGAAATTATCAGTACCTTTTAAAATGAGTTAATGTTGAATATTTTAAAATTTGTATGCAATTTATCTGATATATATCTGCAAATCTGTTTACACTAATCGAAAAAGACATTTTATATTTTAAGCTGGGTTCAAAAAATTGTATCATTTTTTCTAATGCATTTCTAATCGCCATGCGAGATTTCAAAATAAGAAATTGTGTTGGTTGTAAGTAGTGATGGCCAAATCGGCCCGGCCTGGCCCGGGACCGCCGGAGGACCGGGACCGTAATGACAGGTTATGGGACCGAAAATCGGGACCGGTTAGGGTTTTTGGTAGTTTCGTGGGACTGGGACCGACTATGGACCGGCCCGGCCTGAAAATTCAAATAATTTTATAAATAAATGTATTTTTAAATAATTTTATAATATATTTTTATAAGACAATGTAATTTTAATTATATTAAAAACGCATTTTTAAAGTGTATTTGAGTGACCAAATTATAAATTTTATAATGTATTAAAAATATATATCATTATTTTTTTTTAAAAAACTCTTATTTTTTTAATCCAGGACCGGTTATGGCCGGTTATGGGAAAGCTTGGGACCGATTGGGTCCGACCCGGGACCGGTATTTGGCCATCACTAGTTGTAAGGATGGTTTTTTAGTAGTAAATTGGTTTTGGGTAATTACTAATGTCAAATTAGTACTTTTTGCTGATGTGACAGTGAATAATATAAGAAATTGTAGGGTATAATTTCTTAATAAGGAATTGTTTTATGTCACATGATGCTTTTTGCTGTATGTTTATAAAAAATATATGAATAATGTAAAATATAATTTATACAATGTAATTTTATTATTGTGTATTTTAATGTTTTATTTATTATAATTATTTAATTAATAAATTATCTGATATTAAATTATAGTAAAGAATACGTAATTATAATTTGTTATTATTCAATTAAAATATAGTTTTTTTATAATAATATGTTACTTTAGATATTGGTTAAAAATCCTTGCAGTTGAGGGTAATTTCTAAAGTTGACGTGACGCCTTAGAAATTGCATCGTAGTTATGTAAGATGAAAATTGAAATTTATCTACGTTTATTAATAAAAAAAAAATATATCGTGTTCAAATATTTCATTTAATTAAATACTAGAAGAGTACTCACGCAATGCAGCGAGACAATCTCGATTTTAATGTTCGATTTTATTATTTGTCTTTGTCAATGTTATAATACGATTTTATGTGTTTTTAAGAAATCAATAATAATTTTATTTTCGAATAAAATATAAATTTGAAGATATCATAAAAATTTGAAAAAAAAAATATCAATGTTAATATCAAATCAACTATTTAAAAGTTCTCATTTTTTATGTAATTTTTTTAATTTATTTCTTATTATAATTTAATTTAAGTTTAATAACAAAATAATTTATTTTTGGTTTAATAATATAACATTTTATATATATAATAATTAAGTATTCTGTTAGAATCAATGATTATCCTAATTATATTTTGGATTTTTTACATTTAAAATGATATGTTTATTATGTATTTGATTATGTTTATTTGCAGTTAATTACACGAATTCAAATATGGAGCTTTAATAAGTTGTACTTACGTACAATCTACTTGCAATCTTGAGTTTTAAGTAATATGCATTAATACACAGTACTTTACGCATAAAAAATTTTAAGAGTTGTTGTCAAATGCTTTATAATATAGTATAGATGCATAAAAATCTTTATAATATAATTATTATTATTTTCAGAATATCAACTTAAATTTATCGCAATGAAAATAAGTAGCTAATTAAAAACCAAACAATTTCATTATTTTAAATTGAAAATGAAAATAATTAAGTATAAAATTGTGTAAACTATATTTTAAAACTACTAAAACTATATTTTCTACAATTTTATACTAATTACAATTTCATTTTACAAATAAAAAGAAAAAAAACAAACCATAGGGACCAAAATTGTAATTTAATCTATGATCAAAAAAGTTAACCAACCTATTTAACTATAGTTAGTTAGAGGGATCAAAAGCGAAATAAATGGTAATTATAGTGATTAAAATTATAATTAGTTTAAAAGAGAGACCATTTTTGACAGTGAGTGACAACTATAAGGACTAAAAATGTAATTTCTCTATATATTTTTTTAGAAAGGACAGCATCGAACATATTTGGAGAAGTATGGGGGTAGATGAGCATAGGAACTCAAACTTCTTTGAGGTACCAACTGGGTACCAGTTCCACTATAAAAAGTAAGCGAGCATTTCATGGTAGGACATAGAGAATCAAGCACCAAACCCTGTTTTCAGCAACAATGGCGGTCACACAAGGCAAATGGGTCAAGGTCAGCTTCTTCTTCATCGTTATCCTCATTTACCTCTTCCAATTTACCATGATTATCGTTTTTCTGCTTCGATTTCTCTCAGTCGTTTGTTTTCAACCATATAATAAAGGGATTTCGTGATTCTTTTTTATAATCATTTGATCTAAACCGATTAGTTCGATTGTTTTTCGAGGCCGATCGATAACTCATGAGATTATGGTCAGAAATTGTTCTAATTGCGTGTTAAATTCTTTGATACTGATCTATTGTTGGAGTTATTTGGGGATAGGGTTTTAAGAAACGGTAGCAATCGATTATGATTTCTGCATACGAAGCATATCACTCATGTCTTCGATTTCTTCCAGTCGTTCGAGTTTGAACATGTTGAATGCTTAAACTATAAAACAAAATCCATGAAATTGGAGAACGTAAGAAAGAGATGCCAAGTTACGAACTGATAGTAGTCGTCAATGAATTTAATTATTCTGTTCTGTTTGAGAAGAATAATATTAGGGTTAGGTTAAACCTTGTTCATGACCTGAACTTTCCATGGAAGCAATCAACAAAATTCCTTGGGATGAAAGTGATGTATTTAGGATCCGTGAATTAATGTTGTCCACTAGTCGAATTCGAGCTGAATCAGTATCACAGTTGTCAACCTCAATGTGATTTGATTCATTGAGCTATAGGAGTGTTCATCGGTTGAAATCCAATGGATTTAGGTTGATCCAGTCCAATCCAATCATCTAATGGATGTTGGATTTTGTCATCCGATCCGATCCAATTAAAATTGGACATCCAATCCAATCAAATCCAATGGATGATTGGATCGGATTGGTTCCATCTATTTATATTTCTATTGATTATCCATTTGATCGGATAAGACCCATCCAATTTTTTGATACAATTTTCAACCAAATATTCATATATTTCTTTAATTTATTAGAGACCACTACGAACAAATATCAAATAAAAAACAATATCGTAAAATGTTAATAATTAGATATAGATATAAATGGATGGTAGTTCGATGAGTAATTGGATTGGATCGGTTTGGTTTTATTGGACTCCGGACTGTCATCCAAGAACCGACAGATCCAATTTGGATGTTGAAATTTTTGATGAAGTCTGATCCAATTACAATTGGATATCCGATTATAGTCGGTCAGTTCTAATTGGATTGATCAATTTAAATTAGACTGGATGACTTTCTGCATACCTCTAAGTAGCTACATGATAGGATCGGTAGATGGGACATGATAAAGTTAAAGTCCTTGTAACTAAACCAAACGAACCGAGTATGTCTCACATGGGGGTATGTTCTTGGAAGCGTAAGATGTACGTAGACTTACTCAACTACTCAAAAGAGTAGAGCACCTCTTTCCATGAATACGTCTGGCTTGTGAAAAGTGTGCGAAAGCAGGAAATGCATATATGCAATGATATTAGTATAAAGTTTCTAGATTTGGTTCATCATTTGACAACTATTATCGATATAAACTTAGAATTTTGATTGCAATCTTGGTTTCAGTTACCCGATTGTAATATCAAAAGCGGAGAGCCTACTTGGTGATCAGATCTTGTGAATCGTTAACAGATAAAAAGTTATTCATCATCAATCTCAACTAGTTATGACTTATGATTCACCATCCATGGATGATTTGCTAGTAATATTGCATTTTTCTGTAACCATGGTATATGATGCCTTTGACCCAATTAGTAATTCAAGCAAAACCCCCTTTTCATATGAGCAAGACAAACTTTCGGCTTTTCGACCATGCGTATGACCCTCAAAGGAATCAATAGCATCCAAGAATGAAACCCGAGACCTTATGTCACATCAGACACAAAATAGATACCAATCCGTTTCATCTTTTTAACACTCGTTCAGTCGTTCTGATAAACCAAACCAAACCTACCTAGTATATCCCACCTGAATGTAGGATCGGGGTAAAAGTACACATACCTTACATCTGTTCCATAAGATAAAATAAGTTCAACTCATTATGATGTTGAACTTATTATGTAATTCGATGTAGCTATTGATTTTTGTTGGGTTCAATGTTGTGCTTTAATGTTGTATTCAAGCTAGTTTCTCCTATTTTGTAATAGTTTAGTCTTTATTGCTTTCGTAGTATAAATAGGTAGTGCCTTGTAATTAGTGAGAGAATCATCATTGTTGAGAGCTAATTGTCATTAGTGAGAGAATTATTGTAATCATTGAAGAAATCAATACAAAATCATTTGGTTTAAAATTCTTTCTACTCGTACATCTTATTCTTACAAGATTTATCTGATTTGGTGATATTTTGGGACAATCAATTTTTTCTTGAAAAATTTAAAAATTCTCATCAAGAATTTGTGAAGTTGTCAATTGACCATAGAAACATCACCTCCTTTAGAATGGAGTATTAACACAGGACTTGTAATTTGCAGTTGAACCAAAAAGGAACTGGGCCTGGTGCAAGAAGTTCTCATGCAATCACCATTGTTGGAGAAAAAGCTTATGCCTTTGGTGGTGAGTTCAAGCCCCGTGTCCCTGTCGATAACACCCTTTACGTCTTCGATCTTAACGAGCTTACGTGGTCTGTAGCGGAAGTAACCGGTGACATCCCCCCACCACGAGTTGGTGTCACAATGGCTTCCATTGGCGGCACCATATACGTGTTTGGTGGTAGGGACGCCACACACGCAGAACTCAATGAGCTCTATTCTTTCGACACGTGCACAAACAAGTGGTCTCTACTCTCGAGTGGGGACACTGGGCCCGCTCATCGTAGCTACCACTCGGCAGCCACCGATGACCGCCGTGTTTATGTGTTCGGTGGCTGCGGTTTTGCTGGTCGGCTCAATGATTTATGGGCATACGATGTTGTCGACAAAGTGTGGGCCAAGTTTCCGTTACCTGGAGATAATCTCAAAGGTAGAGGTGGGCCTGGGCTTGTGGTAAGTGGTGGGAAGATCTGGGTGGTGTATGGTTTTGCCGGTATGGAGGTCGATGACGTACATTTCTTCGACCCGACTACCGAAAAGTGGGTCCAGGTTGAGACCACAGGTGAGAAGCCTACACCTAGAAGTGTGTTTTCAACCGTTGCGGTCGGGAAGCACGTATTCGTATGTGGTGGAGAAGTGGACCCGAGTGATTTAGGTCACTTGGGTGCGGGCCGGTTCACGCAAGATGTCTATGCATTGGACACAAATACGCTTGTGTGGAAGCGGGTTGAGGATGGATCCGGCGGCGGAGATCACCCGGGTCCACGAGGGTGGTGTGCGTTTTCCAGCGGGAGGCGGGATGGCAAAGAGGGGTTGTTGGTGTACGGCGGCAATTCGCCGAGCAACGATCGGTTAGATGACATTTACTTTTTTACCCCTTGCTTAGATTAATCACAAATAAAACCAACCTTCATGGTTGGTATCTTCATCATGTATGTAATGAGGGCATTTGTGGAAAGGTGTGCAGAAATAAATTTGACTCCTGAATTGGTCATGGTTGATCATTTGGTGGGAGGTAAATAGTGAAACACTTCATGTTTTTATTTTGTGGTATGTATGATGTAAAAAAGAAAATAAAAATAGGTCCATTTTTTTTTAATTTTTTTTATTAACCTGAATATCCAACCTGTTATGCGAGCCGATTAATCTTAGGATGACCATCTGCTTTGTAGGTAGTTCGGAGTCACCGCATTTGAACCTACGTGGCCACAAAGGGATTTTTGTTCCTACTTGGATTTGAACCTGAGACCCCTTGACACTTTTGACCTTTAGAGCCAAGCTCAAACCAATCAGACTTCACTCTTGTGGTTAGGTCCATTTTAATTTATATTTTGTTTTCTTTTAACACATGGTTAAACATGTCAAATGATTAAAAATTACACGAAATATATTTAGATAAAAACTATAAAATGGGAGTGGCGGATCTAGAAATTTATTCGAACGAGTGCATTTTTAAGGCTTGCAAAGTCTTAGTTTTACTCGGTGGAAGGTCAACGTGACGCGGTTTGACCCATAGAAAAGTCAGTTGTGTCGATTTGGAGGATGAAATATAATTTTTCTAGCGGGTGCACCTTCAGCCGTTTAAAACTTTTTCTCTTGCAATAATCGAGTGAGCGGTAACATGGAACCCCCCCCCCCCCCTCCTTAGCATGCCCGACCGTGAAAATGGGTGAACTTGATCTGATATCTTTTCGTCCATTCAAAAAACTTATGATTTAAACAAATTTTGACTTGTTACCTAATCTGTTTTGAGACTTAGACCGTCTACCAAATGCTTACCGGATAAGTGTTTATTGCAAGAGTCACCACTTTAACTCACCTCGTTTGGTAACATTTATTGGTCATCAAAATGACTTGTTTGTAAGCTTCTCTTACCTGATAAGCACCAATCGAGTAAAAATTTTCTTCCTCACTTACCAAGTAAGAATCTTGATTGTTGTCATGCCTCTTACCGCGGTCTTTGTCATGCTCACTCGATAAGCTAAGCGACTCAGTAAGCGCTTACTGGTAGAGATGGACTCAAATTTTTTTTAAATGGCGGTACCATTTGACTATAATCGGGATATTTTTCACAACATCATGATTAGTCTGTTGGTTAGTTCATTGTTTCCATATGAGCAAAAACCTTGCAAACCAACTCTACCAAAGAAAATCTGTGTCCTTCTTGTAGTTTCAAAATATATATGATAATACACAACAAATCGATACGGTTGCACATTTCAAAAACCTAATTTTTTTTACACTACGACGGATGAATGAAACAATAGCATGTGCCACCGTAACCACTTAACCGGGTCCGTCCTTGCTTACCGGCAAGAGTCACAATCCTCAACTTACCTTATTCGGATAATATTCCGGGTCATCAAATTAGGTTGTTGGTAAACATATTTTTACTCGGTAAGTGCTTATGGGGTAAAGTGTTTACCCTCACTTACCGGGTAAGACTTTTAATCTTTGTAATACTTCCTACTAGTTATCAGGTAAGACTCTCGTTCCTTATCATACTCATTCGATAAAGCAAGTGACACCCACTAAACGTTTATAACCACCACCCCTTGTATTTTTGTGTTTTAAGCATGTTGGAAAAGGCATGTACCAACTCATCATATGATTTGAAGTGTTTGATATGGTGCACTTTTTGGCTTGTAGATTTTATTCCATATCCTTTGCTTCCAAACCATGCCCATATAACCTTGATGCCTCCACCCTCTTTTTGCCTTTTATTTGCTTTTTTCCAACACTTGTTTTAAGTTTACCACAATATGTGTGTTATAATAATATTTCTAAGGGGTTGTTTGACAGTTGTTGAATGGTTTAATGCATAATGATTAAATGATCAAAATGATTAAGAGGCTTTCATGATATAGTGCAAAATGAAATATAATTGTTTGGTAATTGTTTACAATGAAATCAGAACGCGTAATGGTTAAGGGTGGCTTATGATACAAAATCATTCAGAGAGTTTTAGAACCATTAAGAGACAAACTTTTTTTTTGCCAAACAAGATTCACCTCTTAATAATTCAGATGTTGTCACTTAATGAAACTATTAAGAGGTAAACAAATAACCTCTAAGTTATTGATAATTTGAACTATCAGATTAAAGAAAAATAGATGATTCAAATTTTACTGGTTTTGTATAGATACTGTGAAATTTAAGGAATCTGTTTAAAGGCTAACGTTACAACCAGAGAATAATTGAAACTGATTTTTTATTCTTCACACTGTCTCTTGTCAATTTATTTACGTCCTAAAATTTGTATGTGTGTAAGTTTACAGCTTATATTTGTAGAGTACATGACGAACTTCGATTTATTTGATTAGGATTTTAGGATGAGATTTGACAGATTCTAAAAGAAAACGACCATACAGTGGAGTTGGAAGGGTAAATTATTGTTTGTTCTTTACGGGTCCACCAATAATGGAAAACCATAATTATAAAACATCGTCTTTTTAATCTAAAATAATCATAACATAAATAATTACCGAAAAAAAAGTAAAAAGAATTTGCATATTTAACTGAGGAAAAGAAATAAAAGTACATGTTCATAAGTCAAAAAAAAGTTTCACGATATTAATAATTAAGTTCCGAACCACAAGGGTGGTGCCTGATTGGTTTGATCTTGGCTCCAAAGGTCAAAAGTGCCAGGAGGTCCCAAGAAGGAACAAAAATCCCCTTGTGGCCACGGAGGTTCAAATGCGGTGACTCCGGGCTACCTGCAAAGCAGGTGGTTGCCCTGAGATTAATCATTAAGCCACCTCAAATAAATTGATACAGAATATGCCCCAGAAATAATCTAACCATCTTTGTTTTTGATTCTATCACACACCAGTACATTTTCGTCCAAACATATTCTTAATTTGTACAGTTTTTAAAATCACAGTAAAACAGTTATGACCCGTTTGATAATATATCTGATAATTTGTCAGATAAGAAATAAATGTAAGTTTTAAGTAGAAAGAATTGAATTATTGCCATGAATGAAGATGATATGTTTAAAGACAACATATGCTTGCTCTCCATGTTATCTCTTACTTGAAAGTATCAACACACACAAAGACAATTTTTCAAAGCTGTTTAAAGAAAGAGAGATAATATTCCTTCACTTTTATTTTTAATTTTGATATTTGAATAAATAACAATTTAATAATTAAATAAATAAACCACAAAATAAATTCATGTAAGACAATATATATATGACAAAAACTTTTAAAAATCATTTTTTATGCATGAAGTACTGTTTATTAATGCATATTACTTAAAATTCAAGATTACAAGTAAACTGTGCATAAATATAACTTATTAAAGCTCCATGTTTGAATTCGTGTAAATAACTGCGGATAAATATAATCAAATGGAAGATRAMCATCTCATTTTAAAATATAAAAAATCTAAAATATAATTAGAATAATTATYGAGTTCTAACAAAATAATTAATTATTATCTTTATAAAATGTTATATTATTAAACCAAAAATAAATTATTTTGTTATTGAACTTAAATTAAATTATAATTAAAAAAATTAAAGAAATTACATAAAAAATGAGAACTTTTAAATAGTTATTTTGATATTAACATTGATATATATATATTTTTCCAAATTTTTATGATATCTTCAAATTTATATTTTATTCAAAAATAAAATCATTATTACTTTCTTAAAAACACATAAAATCGTATTATAACATCGACATAGACAAATAATAAAATAGAACGTTAAAATCGAGATGTGTATCGCTACATTGCACGAGTACTCTTCTAGTATATATATATATACACACACACACACATACATCGGCACCTACACTTGTATGTGTTAGTGTTTTGAGTAACACTATAAAACAAACTAAATTCATATAAAGTTAATAAAACTAAAAAAAAAAAAGAATCATTGATACAAAATATACAGAGCCTATAGAAATTGATATCAAGAGTGAAAAATCAGGATTAAATCTCTCGAATTTATACTCACTACTTTTTTCGATTTTCAAAAAAATCGTGTTCGAACTTTCATGTAACGGGAATGTGAGTAACTATTTACCTCTTCAAGGTTTTAGTTTTAAGTTTTCTTTTTATGTTTATTTAAGTCGTAGGACTCGTGCATAATTATCATTTATCCTAAATTATATATTAACGTAATCCCACACCTTAAAAAATAACGCGACGTAACATAACGTACCATGACATGCCATAACGCATTACAATGCAAGTCAAAACAGAAATATTATATCATTTCCGATCGCAATATATAATTAAAATTAAAGGGGAAAAAAATACATACCACATAATTTGTAGAAATCCAACTACTTCCAACCAGGCACATGTTACTAACCAGTTGGCAGATTCTTCATGTTCTTTTAGTATATATAGAGATAGATCCAAAGACAAACAAATTTTTAACCATTAGAATGAAACGAGATGAATATAACGGTGTAACTTGTTAAAATAAAAATATATTTTAATTGATATACGATTATGTATGTTAATTTGATAAATGTTTAAAATGAAATATTTAAAAGTAAATGACGTAAATTAAATTAATTAATGTAAATTTAAAACTATAATTTTAAAAAAATCGGTTGTGAGAGAGTGAGTGTATCTGAGGGGGTGAGTGTATGTGAGGAGAGAAGGGGGTGAAAAAATGAGTATAAAGGGTATTTTGGTCATTTAGTATTTTAATACTTTAAAATTTTTGCTAAATTTGCTTAATAAGATAGTATAGATGATTCAACAGATGCGATTAAGAAGCTGATATCATGTATTTTACGAAAATTGTTTACATATCTCAAATATGTATACATTTATTATGTTAGATCATAAATGCAAGATATTAACTGATAATTTCAAAATAATGTTGAAAAGTCCAAACTAATTCAAGATCGATTATAAAAGTTTGCATTTGGTCTTGGTTTCCAATTAATGAAGATTTATCAGATATTTTATTACTCGATAAGTGCTTACCGATAAAAATCATCATTCACACTTACTTACTTGGTAAGACTTTTGATCATTGTCTTTACTTTTACCGTGTAAGATTCTCGGTGCTTGTTATGTTCTTCGGTAAGGTAATTGCCGGTAAGCACTTATCAAGATAAAATGATTTGGTGCAGAATGACTAATTGGTCAGGATGATTAATAAACTTTCATGATATAGTGCAAAATGAAATAAAATTGTTTGGTAATTGTTTAAGATGAAATCAGGACACTTAATGGTTAAGGGAGACTCAAGATACAAAATCATTTAAAGGGTTTTTAGAACCATTAAGAGGGTTTTTAGAACCATTAAGAGACATATTTTTTTTACCAAACAAGATTTACCTCTTAATGGTTCAGATGTTGTCTCTTAATGAAACTATTAAGAATTAAACAAACAACCCCGAAGTGTTTAGTAAATGACTGCTTAATATAACTATTATTTATTTGATTATGTCTATAAAGATATTTTAAATATTTAGTAAATAATTACAAGAAAGAGAAAGAAAGTAGTAAATAGATTTATGATACACACATTTTCTAATTTATGACATAAAATAATTAATTACAATAAAAACAATCCCAAAATGAAAAAAAAAGACTGATTATTTTTTTATAAATAAAACCAAATAAAAATCTTTTAATCATAAATTAAAAAAAAAAAAAAAAGAGAAATCGTATTCTCGTGGGAAACCCATGATACCTGCTGTCACATTATCACACCGACACAAAAATGGAAAAAAAAAAAAAAAAAATCAAGCGAAAGCCAACCACGAAAAACAGATCGCCATGACCACCGACGCCACCAACCTTCCACCACCACTTGCCGTCTGATCCGCCGCATCATCGTCGGAGTAATCGTCGGAAGAGTCTGGTCCTGGAGCCTCCGCATCGTCCTCCGTCGTTTCGCCCTTCTTCGCCGCCTTCTTCTTCTTCTTCGCAGCCTTTGGTGCAGGTGCCGGCTCGTCCGCCTCCACCACACCTTTAAACAGCTCTCGAGGCATCAAAACCTTGTCGATTGTGTAAATTGCGATGGGCTCATCGTCAACCACCGTTCCGCTTATCGTCGCCGTCGTCACTTTCGTCTTCAATGTCACATCGTTGCCGTCGTTTTGTACTGTGAAGTCATACTTCTTTTTAGCTCCTTCCGTCGCTAAAGTGTTCATCAGTCCGTTGCTAGATCTGAGCATTCCCATGGAATTGTAAACCGGAACACCGTGATAAAGCAACAACGATATCTTCTCCGACGCCGTCAGGTTCTTGTATTTTGGTGCGAATGCAGCAATAGCGTCGTCTCCTGGACAAAACACAGTTACTCCGCCGTCGGCACTGCTTAAAAACGTTCCGATTGCTCCAGAAGAAGTTAACAGATCGTGAAACGCTTGACAACCGTCTCGTTGTAACAACGAAGTTAAGTTCAGATCTGGAGCAGCAGTCGGAGCCTCCGCCTCCGGCGACTGTAGAATCGCACTGATCTGAATGACGGAGATGTTGTAAGGCATCTCCAAAACAGACTTGACATAAACGGTATCTTTTTGACTCGGATTGTCTTCGGGAGTGAATCTAACTTTACCGCCTTTGACGTCGGTGATATGAACGTAACCGGCGGTTCCTGGAGCTTCACCGGTGGCCTGATACATAGTGGCGGTGGAGGTTGAGCCTTTCGTGACCTGGTGGAGCTTTTTGGAGCCGAAGTAGTCAGCGAAGACATGGAGAGAGAGAACATTTTTTATAGTCTGAATCGACAGACCTTTGGAAATCAACGACGACATTGCCGCATTGTCGACGGCGCAAACGGTGATGGTCTGTCGGCGGTTAATTTCATTTGCGAGGTGAGTGATGGTGAGGTAGTGGTTGAAAGTGGAAAATTCAGGGTGTTTGGCGAGGATGCGGGTGATGTTGTGGCCGTGTACGGCGGCGGACAGAGACAACAGGAAGAGGACGGAGAGAGAAATCGCCGACACCGTCGCCATTGCTGCCGGAGCGGTGTTGACAGACGGAGGTGAAGGATAAGCAGGCAAAGGTGAGTGGTCTCTGTGTGTGTGTGTAAAGTGTATTTATATATCCATGTGGAATACCTGATTGCTCTGCCAAATGCCAATAACCTTTTTTTATTAATTTAAAATAAAATAAAAATAATTATTATTTAATTTAATTTGTTAAAAACAATTATGGTACCAAAATTATTTTCCAATGATGTTTTTCTGTCGCCTCTTTGGCTTTATAAATATTAATAATTAAATATTTGGATTTAATAAAAACGTTTTTATATATTTTTAAAATAAATAAATGAAGGCAGAAGGGTGTGAAGGAAGTGAAATCCAGACTGTCCATGAAATTATTTGCGGGAACCCATCACCATCAATGCTACATTACATATATTTTGCTTATTTTAATTAGTTTTAATGAATAATTAATAATGTAATTAATTTAATAATCTAGGTTAATTGTTCTAATGTCCACATCACACCCTCCCACTATTTGCTATTTTCATTTGACCCCTTCTTCTTTGGTGGTTATTGCCATATTTGGTTTTACACATTTATATAATTACCAAAATCCTCCCTCAACTATGGATAATTTATAATTTTGATAACTGAATCTATTACATTTTACGGGACGGTTGGTTTGATAAAATGGTTTTGAAAGATTCAGATTTCATGTAAAAAATTTGAATCAGAGGGATTTGGATTTGGATTTGAAATGTTTGACTTGTAAGGATTTGGATTTATGACACCTTTTTATTAATTGATTATCATAAAACAAATATTTTAAACATATTTTAAAATATTATTACATATAAATTGTCCGAAGCCCTATGAAATACCAATCATTCTTGTGTGTAGGTGCTCAAAAACCTGACCAACCCGATCAATCCAACCCAACGCGAAATAGTTCAACTCGAAACAACCCGATGTCTAATCGAGTTGTAAAATTTTCAAACCATAGGTATTGGGTTGATATTGAGTTACCATTATTTGAACTCAACCCAATCCAACCCAGTGAACCCGATATTCTTTTATTTATTGGATTTAATATAATTGTTGAATTTATATTAATATATACATTAGACAATTACCCTATCACGTATGCTCTTTATATACATATATTTTCAATCTATCTATATCTCTATATAACTCATTCGTGTACTTGTTCAGTAATTGTGAATATATATATGTAAATTGAGAAAAATAACTGAATATGATATACGTACGAAGTATGGATAAGTTGTATTAAATGGTTGATGATAAAAAAGAAATTATTAGTAGAGAAATAACATATTCAATGTTAGAAAAATATTTTAATGTATTAAAGTATCAACCCGACTAAACTGACCAACCCGTACGGTTTGGGTTGGGTTGCAATTTGGTTTGGGTTGGGTTGGGTTAAGCCTTCAAATCGCACATATTGGATTAAGTTGTTCAAATGTCTTCAATCCGACACATGAGCACCCCTACCTGTGTGATTACAAAATCCTATGTTTAAAGGATTTCAATGGAATCTTGAGATTTCAAATCTAAAAAGTCATTAAAATCAAACATGAGATTGAAATGTACTTTAATTTCAAATCTAATCTAATTCAATCTTGCAAACCAAAGGAATACCTTATTGTTTTTGCTGAAACATATAAAAAACATGCAAAGACTATTTACTTACAATAAAAAAAGAATCGTAACCACAAGGGTGGTGCCTGATTGATTTGAACTTGACTTCAAAGGTCAAAAGTACCAGAAGGTCCCAAGTTCAAATCCAAAGAGGAATAAAAATCCCCTTGTGGCCACGGAAGTTCAAATGCGGTGACTCCGGACTATCTGCAAAGCAGGTGATCGTCCTGAGATTAGTTGGCTCGCATAGCGGGTTAAGAAAAAATCGTTTATACTTTCATTCATCATCAAATCTTTGCATCGATAATTATTTTTACGTCGTATAAGACGCTTAATGAGAAGGTTATGTAGTGTGTTGGGCGGAAAAGTGATATATTTCATAGTTAGAGGAGCATAGTTGCTATAATCTCATTAGTTTAGGGGTAAAAAAGTAAAAATTAATTGCCGGTGGTGGGGTCCAACTAAGTGTCGGTAGCAATATTTAACAACCTCCTTTTTATTTAACCTCATATCTGATCAGAAATACTTATTAATTGTAAATTTTATTTGTAGAAAACCGGATATGTTTTAGTTTATAGTTTTATGTCATGCATCTTTACGAGACCCTTTTCAATGATTACGTCATTTTAAAAAATCAGATATGTTTTAAACATAAATACCCTAATAATCGGTTGAAGTATTAATCGGTTATTATGTTAATTTGATAAGTAATGTGGTATCCAACTCAAAATAAAATTTTATTGAGTTTTAAATTCAAAAAGTAAGTCAAATCACTAGCCACATCAGCATGGTAACCAGTTAATGCTTCAATCGGTTATCTAAATACTTAAATGTTTAAAATTTTACATCTTATATACCAAAATAAAAGTTTTAAAAGTATTTTTTTCAAAGTATAAATCAAGTTAAAATACGTTGTTTTTTTAATATAATTTGATAAAATAATAAAATGAAAATAATAAGGAAATATAATAAAAAAGTGACGGTTGTTTTGCCAACTATCACAAATTGCCAGACTGTACATGCCACGACTAACCGTTGGCATAAAAAACCAAAATCTAACGTTTGCTTCTTTAATTGGGTTGTTGTAAAATAAAATATTATTATTATTATTATTTATTATTTTGTTTGAAATAATTCATGCATATTTGTCTTTTGGGCAAATCTCTTAATAATTTTATTAAGAAATAATTTTTTAAATTGTTAAAAAGATAAATCTTGTTTGATAAAAAAAAAATATGTTTTTTAATGGTTCTAAAACCCTCTGAACGATTTTGTATCATGAGTTTCTCTTAACCATTCAGCACCCTAATTTCATTATAAACAATTATCAAATAATTATATCTCATTTTGCACTATATCATGAGAAGCTCTTAATAATTCTGTACCAAACCATTCATCAACTGAAAAACAACCCCTCACTTTTATTTAATATAATAATTGTTTTTTTCTCATTTAATGTTTTCAAATGTTCACTGTGATATATTTCTTAACTTACTTTACTTGATAAATGAGATTTCAATTTCTTTAATATCGATTCAAATTACGTTTTTTGATGTAATCAAGAACTACGATTAACAACTTGATTTTCTTAAGTATATAATATTTATATACGACAAATGAATATATGCATCCTTCTCTCTTTGATGAGATAGTTTAAATCTTTGACCTCCTGATAAGGTATGCTTTATAGGTTACTCATACACTGCTTTGCTAAAACTTTTTACTGATTTCACAACTTGATATTCATATTATTAATAGTTACTGATCACTAGTCAAAAGTGGTACGAGATTACATTTGAATACCATGGTATTATAGTGGAACTTAACTTACAATATCGTACATCAACCGAGTTTGCATATTTGGTACGGTATTACCAAACGATTATAATTGATACAGTTAATACACATGTCGGTTGGTTTAATTTAATACAAAATTGTCACCCCTAATTATAGTAACCTAATTAAATTAGTTTTAGTACACAAGTTTTGTCCATTCTATTGTTCTTACCAAATAAAGTAACATTAAATTCATTTTAATATTAAAGCTAGAAGTCAAAAAGTCACTATTAAAAGTTTTATTTTGATGAAATAATTGCAACAAATAATAAATTATTATTTACTTATATTAATTACCTAATATCATTATTGTATTTAACCAAGATTTGACCTTCTAATCAATCTTAACCGTTGATTACTAGGAATTGAACTTGATTGGAATTTAGTTCAACGTTCACAAATATATACCCTCTATCTTAAATAATTATATGATAACCTTAAAATGTTGTTTTTTAAAGTAGTTGATGTCTGATAGTTTAGCTGATGAATTATTACATTTGATAAAATCTAGCTGATAAGTTAGTTGAAAAGTATAAAATAATAATAAAAAAGACATGTAAAAAGTTAGTCAATTTTAATATTTTGTAATATAACTAAAACAAATCACTAATCTATACTACCTTATAAATCAGATTTATCAAATGTCTTAAAAACAATTTTTAATGTATAAAGTACTATACATTTATGTAGAAAGTCTTAAAAGTCTTAAAAACAATTCATAATGTATTAAGTACTACTACTTTATACATTTAATCTTAAAATCTCTTAATCTACAATTAAAATAACAATTAAAGTGTCAGGAGGTCCCAAGTTCAAATCCAAGGAGGAACAAAAATCCTCTTGTGGCCACGGAGGTTCAAATACGGTGATTGCGGGCTACGTGCAAAGCAGGTGGTCGCCCTGGGATTAGTCGGCTCGCATAGCGGGTTGGATATCCAGGTTCATTAAAAAAATAACATATAGTACAAGTTACCAATGCACATTATTACCTTTTCTTTTCATGTTTCCAAGATATTTTTGACACATTTCACTCATACCTTCACCCTCTCATACCACTATGTCTTCTCCCCATCCCCCAAGGTGAGTTTCAAACTGATATTTATCATGAGTTATTAAAAGTTCTCTCATTCAATTGTTCTAGAACTCTTAGTCTCACTCTCGATCCCAATCTCTTGATTCTTTACTCTTGGTGTAAATCAAACACATTTGTGAAGTCGTTTATATATGTTGGATTTTAAACTATCATACAGTTTTTTTTTTCATGGATAGACTTTAATTGAAATCATAACTCTTATTTATTCAAATTGTATTAATATATAAAAACTAAGTGTAACTTATATCATCATTAAAATTCAAAATCGCTAAAATTCACGGCTCCTGCCGCATTGCACGGGTACACAACTAGTAATATAAAATATTAATTAATACAATCAAAATCATAAATAAATTAAATAATACAATATGTTAATTAATAAAATTTCAACTTGATTATTAATTATATGTATATTACAATATTATAAATTTTGGATTTGTATAACCAAACACAAATTTTATTAGAAAATCTATATTAAATG